TTTACAAAGTCATGTTGAGATTAGTCATCATGACAATTCAATAGAACAAACACAAAAAGAGGGTGAAAAAATTGTCACCTACAACAGCAACCACATTGCCAACACATGTTGCCAATGCTAATTCTAATGTGCAAGCTGTGATTGAATTGGATGGGAAAGATTCAATGCCAGCTGATGGAAGTCATCGGAATGTCCAATTTCAATCGCATGTTGAGAACCTTGATGCTCCACTAAATGATGCCCCTGATGATGTGATGTTAAATGACTATAATGTTCCTGCCCCTTCAATTGGCCATGGATCAATTGAGTAGTCGCTTGTTGACAAGGAGAAGGCTGTCAAACCAACTCCTACTGATCAACCTCATCTAACTCAGTCATCCCCAAAGTAACCAACATCAGGTATTATCTCTACAGCATGCTTGGCTAAAGAACAACTGACCAACAACAATGTTATAGCACCTCATGAGCAAGCAATAAATGATACTTCACCAGCTAGTGTGTTAACCGAAAATGTCACTGTCCCCATGTAGACTAAACTACCTCACATACCAACACAATCAACCTTCCCTAAAATATTTACCAACTTTGATAAAAATCATGTTATTCAACATCAAAACTCAGTTTACACGCCAACACCAGAACAACAACATTCCTAACTCACCTCCCAAAGAAACTAATCCTCAAGCACAAAGTCACAGTCCATTCCCTACTTCAGCCCCTGCATACACACGGCCAAATGCTGCATTTCCTTCTGATAAAACCAACCAACCAAACATATCTACTAGCCAAAACAACAATCCTCAGAACATTCAAATAACTACCCTACCATTACCAAATGCCAATAATACCCAACCAATTAAAATACCTTCCTATCCTACACCACCACCTCCTACTATCACACAGTCCCTGTCTACCAAGTGCGAGCAAGGCAGGATGCAGAGATTGTCCCAATGGAGTTCACAGCTCCCAGAGTCACTACCAAGCAGGGCCAGCCACCAGTTATCTTCACCAGAAAGGATTACATGATCATTCTTGCACACAGGTGCCGATATACAATTGCTGGCAAGTGTCTAAATATAATGCCTAGAATGGAACAAATTAGGAGAAGCTTCATTGTTCAAACTAAACTCAGAGGAGGAGTTAAGATAGCTTATTTCAATGCTAGAACAGTTTACATCGACCTAGACAATGAGTATGATCTCACCATTATCTGGACAAAAAAGGTCATGTATATTCAGGGCCAAAGAATAGAATTACAGGCTTGGACACCCAACTTCAATCCAAATGAAGATATTCCTATTGTCCCTGTTTGGATAGTGATCCCTGAGCTACTATGGCATTTCTACTACAGGGAGGTCTTATCAGTTTTATTATCTCCTATTGGGAAGGTTCTACATCTGGATCTAGCATCAATGCAAAAAACAAGAGGGAGTGTTGCAAAGGTTAAGATGCATGTGGACTTAACTCAAGAAAGACCCCATCATGTGTGGCATGGATTTGATGAAAATCAGGATGTTAATGGGTATGGCCAGTGGCTGGAAGTGGTGTATGAAGAACTCCCAGATTACTGCTTACATTGTAGACACCTGGGTCATGAATAGTACTATTGCTCTATAAAAAAAGAGAAGAATAAGAGAAGAAGAAAGCAGCAGCAGAAACATCTCACAATAAATACAATCACTCTACAAGCAAGCATGAGGGAGCAAGTGGAACACATCAGGAATAGATCTTATAGGGACAGAAAAAGGATTAGAATTCCAGCCAAAAAATAGTTGAGCAAAACCAAATAGAGGAACACCAAGGAAGAATAAATCACACAGCTACTGCACAACAACCAACAAAAGAAAACCATCCTAAAGATCAGCGACAATCTCAAAAGAAGAAGAATTTTAAGGGTATCAACCATAGAAACTGACAACAAAAACTCAAACGGGCTTATGAGCTACTAGAATAGTCCAGACCACATGTTTACTTGCCAAATCGCAAACTGTTCCACCAACAGCTCTTGCAAGTGTATTAGACACCCCACACAAGGCTATAGATGGCGATGCTGTAATTCATAGAGGAAAGTTGTTTGACAAGGAGACACTGGAATAGACAGGGGATCTCAATGGAGTGAGTGCTTCTCAGCCAAAACATCAGGAGGATCATTCAATGGGGCACACAATTATAAACAACATACAATCTACTGCTGCCAATGAGATATACCATCAGGAAAATGGAGCTGCTGGAACTAACACCAATGTGACTAACAAATCTGACAGCAGAGACAAGGACAAGCCCCACGACCAACAGTAGAAGATTCAAATATTGGAAACCAGTAGGAATCAAAAGAAACAACATTCAAGTCCTGTTGGAACATCATGCTCTAATGAGGATACTACTACAAATGCTTCACTTAGGAGGAAAAACATTTCCAAAATTGCTGCCTGAAAAAACACCCTACAACATCAACCAATTCTGGAATCAGAAAAATATGTTGCAGGAGGTTCTAATACCATTCCAAGAGACAAGAATGTTCCTCAACAGCAAGTGCAACAAGTACTGGAATCCAATGTGAATGAGCATATAGAGCAGGCCAGGAATATTGACAATCTAAGCTCCAACATTAAAGTTTCGGGAATTAGAAAGAACACACCCGCTGAGTCTGATAGAAATAGATGAACTTCTACAATGGTAAAGACAGTTGACTGGGTACGGGAGAGGTTTGGAACCCCAAAGGAAATACTAAATATTTCACTGAATCATTCATGTCAAGATATACCCTCTTAGACATTAGAGGTGTCACCAAAGTCTACTGGAAATACAAGATCTGATAAAAAAGTATGAAGTGATGAACTATAGGATTCTGAACTGAGGTCTGTCTCAAATGCATGTATAAAAGTTGACAACCAAGAGTTCAAAAAACATTCAGGACAAGCAACCAATGTAAAGAACTCAAGTACTTCCACCAATAGTTCCCCTGGAGACATTTCACTCACTGCAGTATCTTTACAAGATCTCAAAACTACTGGTTCAAAGGCAATACAAACCACTGGAGTAGCAACTCAGTATCACATACCAACAGACCGCACTAATCTGGAATCTACATATGAGTTGCAGTTCAAGAAGATGCAACAACATTTGACAGCTAGAGATCATACTCATTTAATGATTAACGATGTGGAAATTACTATCACCATTCTATGATACCACATCAAGAAAGTGACGTTGCTCCAATTTCTGTGCATTGTGCTTCAGACAATAGACAACCCTCCTCACAAACTAAATGATGATAAAATCTCTCATTTGGAACATAATGTCTGTTAATACTCAACAGGACTTTCAGAGAGTGATCAACATACAGATAGAACATAGGTTTTCAATTGTTGCACTAATGGAACCTTTCCAGAATTATAGGCATATTCATACTTACAGAAGGAGACTTTGAATGGAATCTGCTATGTCGAACATTAATGTTGTTCATTGAAGATGTTGTAGAATGGGAATTGATTATGGACACCGAGCAGCAGGTTACTGTTAAGGTATTTCATCAGGAAATATAGAGACACATCATCATGACTTTTGTGTACGCCAAATGTTCTTCACTTGATAGGCTGGAATTGTGGGACTACTTATATTACTTGGCCAATGATATGGATTTGCCTTGGGTCGTTGGAGGTGATTTCAATGTGGTCTTACATGAAGATGAAAAGCTAGGAGCTCTACCAGTGCACCCACCTGAATATGAAGAATTTTCCTTTTGTGTAAACTTTTGTAGTTTGTTTGACCTTGGTTACAATGGCAGTCCTTTCACTTGGTGGAATTGCAGACCAAATGAACAATGCATTTTCAAATGACTTGATAGAATCTTTGTCAATCTTCCTTTCCAGAATCTCTTCCCAACTATAGAAGTAGAACACTTGATACAGATAGGATCATATCACGCACCTTTGCTGATAAGGTGTGGACAAGAGTCTATACAATTTGTTAAAAATTTCAAGTTTCTCAACTTCTGGACAAAGCATGCCACTTTCAAATAGGTGGTCAAGCAAAACTGGTTGACAGATTTTATTGGGAATACTTTCTTGATGTTCAAACAGAAATTGAAGAGAGTCAAACCTGCCCTTTCACACTAGAGTAAAGTTACTGTTGGAGTTATCTTCAAGCAACTAGCTATTAGGGAGGAAATTGTCAGAGTAAAGGAGATACTATTTTAGAAGGGACCAACAATATCAAACAGAATTGTACTTCAACAAGCACAAGAAGAATTGTAAAAATACCTGAGCATTGAAGAATAATACTGGAGATAAAAGGTAGGAATGAACTGGTTTGCGGAAGGGGACAGAAACACAAGATTCTTTCACAATCATATAAACAGCAAGAGGCAAAAATTGAATCTCAAAAGGATTCAGGACACAGATGGTAATCAGCTTGAAACACAGGAACTTATGGCAAATGCTACAGTGGAGTTCTTCAGCAACCAGTTTACACAAGCAGGGAATACCACTAACTCTAAAATGCTTAACAATGTACTTACTATTGTGACACTTGAATATAATTTGGAGTTGTGCAAATATCCTACAATAGATGAAGTGAAGAATGTAGTATTCGCTTTATCTGGTGATAGTACAAGTGGACCAGATGGTTTCACTGGCTTGTTCTACCAAACATGCTGGGACATTATGGGAGAAGATATCTACATGCTGCTTCAAGAGTTCTATGATGGGGCACCACTCCCAAAATCCATAACACACACTAATCTTGTCCTGTTGCCTAAGAAACATCAAGTGCAAACATTCTCAGACTTAAGACCAATAAGTTTAAGCAATTTCATCTATAATGTAATATCTAGGGTATTACATGACCGAATGGAGAAGATACTCCCATCTTTGATTTTGCCCAACCAATCTGGTATTGTTAAATGAAGGAGTATTTTTGAAAATATTTTGCTCACACAAGAAATAATCACAGTTATAAGGTTGAGAGGGAAACCGGCCAATGTTGTAATAAAGCTTCTTATGGCGAAGGCTTATAATAGGGTTTCTTGGAAATATCTTCTACATGTTTTGAAGAAGATGGGGTTTGCAGAGCATTTCATCAACATGATAGGGAACTTATTGGTTAACAACTGGTACTCAGTGCTAATCATTGGCCAAGCATCAGGGTTCTTTAAGTCCAACAGAGGGGTGAAACAAGGTGATCCCCTATCTCCTACTTTGTTCATTTTGTCTACGGAGGTAGTATCAAGATCACTGAAGAATCTTTTCTTAGACAAGAATTTCAAAGGATTTGGAATGCCCAAATGGACAGATCCATTAAACTATTTGGCTTACGCAGATGACACTATAATCTTTTCATCTGCTGATCCTTACTCTTTGAAGAAAGTAGTTGACATGCTCACAAACTACAAACAGATTTCTGGACAGCTGATTAATAAGTCAAACAACTGATTTTCAAAGGATTTGGAATGCCCAAATGGACAGATCCATTAAACTATTTGGCTTACGCAGATGACACTATAATCTTTTCATCTGCTGATCCTTACTCTTTGAAGAAAGTAGTTGACATGCTCACAAACTACAAATAGATTTCCAGACAGCTGATTAATAATTCAAAGAGATCTTACTACATGCATACAAAGGTGTCAAGGAATTTGCAGGAAATAATTGGTTCTATCACTGGCTTCCAAAAAGGAACATTCCCATTCACTTACCTAGGGTATCCAATGTTTTACACAAAGAGAAGGAAGGATTACTATAATGACCTCACTAAGAAGGTGAATGCAAGACTACACTCTTACAAGGGGAAAATGCTGTCTTTTGGAGGCAAAGCGACACTTATAACTAGTGTACTTCAGAGTTTACCTACTCACATTCTTTCAGTCTTGGATCCTCCTAACAATCTTCTTGAACACTTACACAAGATGTTTGCTAGATTCTTTTGGAGTTCCACTAATCAGGGCAGAAGTAGGCACTGGACAAAATGGCTCAACTTGTGTCTCTATACTGAAGAAAGCGGAGTGGGGTTCAGATCACTTTTTGACATCTCGAAGTCATTGTTTGCAAAGTTATGGTGGAAATTCAGAATATCAAAGTCATTGTGGTCAAACTTCATGCGGAATAAATATTGCAAGAAGGAAATACCAACTGTAGTGAAATTCAGGAAGGGATCACATATCTGGAGGAAAATGTTAGAAGCAAGAGATGAGGTTGAGCATGAAATTCTATGGCAATTAAAAAACGGATCGACAAATGTTTGGCATGAAAATTGGACTGGACTTGGACCCTTATACCATCATGTACCACCAGGGTTCAACATCAGTGAAGAGTTAGATGAAGTGGCAGAGTTAAGAACAGAAAATGATTGGGTTGATCAATTGCTGGATCAAACATTCCCAGAAGACATAACTGATCACATCAGGCAAGAAATTGAGTTTGGAGATACAGACGCATATTGGGACACTCCGATATAGATGCCAACACTATCAGGTAAATTTACAGTTGGAAGTGCATGGCGCATATTAAGGCGTAGAGAACGAACAAATCCAGAACAAAAGTCAATATGGACTAAAGGCTTACCCTTCAAAATTTCATTTTTCCTATGGAAATTATGGAGAAGGAAAGTGCCAACAGATGACTTATGGAGGAGGAATGGTTATCAAACTATTTTGAAATGTTGGTGTTGCTTTCCATTACAAGAAGAAACATTACAACATATTTTCTTTACCAGCTCAACAACATCACAAGTGTGGAAATCCTTTATACACGCCGCTGGAATTGTGGTCAACCTGATACAGATTCATCAGGTGATTAGAGCTTGGTGGAATGCCAATTGTTGCTCTAAGCTTAAGCCACTATTCCAGGATGCCCAAATAGTTATCTCTTGGGAACTTTTAAGGAGGAGGAACTCCATAAAGCATGGAGGAAAAATAGTTTCTGTTAAAAGGGTGGTGCATGAGGTTAGCAATACACTTCATAATCTTGCTAAACTAAGGTTTCATTGGCTACAAAGCATACCTATTCTATGGCCAGATATGATTAGGTTTTTGAAGCTTATAAACCAGTTGTTATCACCAAAAGAATTACATGGCAGCTTCCTTATGAGAGATAGTTCAAGTGCAACACTGATGGCGCTTCTAGGGGTAACCCAGGCCCAAGCTCATATGATTTTTGTATGAGGGATTATGCTGGTGATGTGGTCTTTGCCAAAGCAGAACAGATAGGGATTACAACTAACATGGTCGCAGAGGCAAAGGCAATAATGGAAGGGCTTTCATATTACCTCAGTATGAAACTACACCCTCTGACCATTGAGACTGACTCAATTGTGATAAAGAAGACCATTGAAGGAGAGTGGGAGGTTCCCTGGTGCATCGCCAAAGAAGTCAAGAAGATTAAGGAAATGAAGGGGCAATTCAACGTGCTTTTTCATCATGTCCTTAGGGAGGAAAATACTGTGGCTGATTTTCTAGCTAACCTAGTTTTCTCTTTTGCAGGTACATTAGAATTCCAATCATTGAATGAATTTCCTAGTGCTGGAAAGACACTAATTAATCAAGACAAAAGTCAAATTCATAATCTAAGGATTAGGGTCGCAAGAAACATAAATACTTTCCTCGATTGACATTGTTATAATGATGCCTTAACATGATCGCGCACATATTTTACTCTATTTTACAAATAAGTGACCTGCTATAGAATCACACACCAGCATTTTAAATTGAGTTACACAAGATGCATCTGGCTAATTTACAATGACGTAGTACATCTATTGTATATGCAATGTTATGCACTATTTCTGGGAATAGAAAGGCATCAATTTGCCTGTTGCAGTTCAAGATCAGCAATACACAGATATGGTAACATTCATTGCATCATCACAGAGTCATCACATATCCAAAATTATTCTGTAGAGCTACGAATGACAGTTTGCTTCTATGAATACACTAACTGCAGATCAGCTCAAAGGATGGTCAAGTTATATTGTTTCTGCACATCACTTTACATTGCTGGTTTTATAATGCAGGTGTTAGCTATTTGTTTGATACAACATCACTTCACAATGGTATTATCATGTCACCATTCTCATTCTGGGGGTTATTCTTCAACTTACAACAGCGACACTACAATAAGGTGGCATTCAATATCCTATAGTGACCTACGCAGTTCATGGAAAATACTATGCTTTACAGTTCTGCATCACCAACGAGGGGAAAGAAATTATTCCATTAAAGAGTGCTATGCTAGATGGAAATACAGTAAAAATAACACAATGATACAAAGTTGTTTTTTGGTTCTGTGCTTAAACCTTTGGGGTATACTCAGCGTGTGGTATCAACATTCACAATGCTCAATCTACTGAGGATACTTCAATGATCAAAAGCACCTTGTAGGTCCAATCAAAAGAACTCATCTGCTTCGGCCGATGCCCTACAGATTCCTCTAATCCTCCTGTATTATTTCAAAATACAGAGTTCGCCTTAGGGCTCCTTATCAAGAAGATTACACGTCTTAGTACACACATGATCCGATGAAGACCTTACATTTACTCATCATAAGCATCATGCTAAATCGAGTTCCTATGACTCAACTCTTCCACAACTACATGCAATTTCTTACCAATTGTCTTTCTAAATGTAGGTATCACTGTATTACAGATAAAATAGAGTTTATGAGTTTGAATTCTTACAATTGATCTCTACCACACGATTTAGAGTAAGAAGAAAGAGTGACAGTTCTAAGTTCCTTGTAGCCTCTTGCTTATAAGTGTGGTGCACAATGCACCCATAAACAAGACTCGACTAGACACGGCTTGTAGACTCCCTAGGACAGAACTACTCTGATACCACTCTTTTCATGTCCCAAACCGAAGGGGCGCGACGGGCACTCGGTGAACTCAATCGAGTACCAACGTAACATATCATTCTTATCATACTATCATGGGCCAATGAACCAGAAAGCCGTCATGGGATAACCAGAATAAACATAAGGGAATACTCGATATAGGATGACCCAACATGGTATACAAACTTATACATGTGACATACAGGCCTATACGGCCGACATGATCATTTGTAAACTCAAATTATAGGCTGACAAGGCCATACAAGTATCCATATACATGACATCTATCTACAAGACTCTAAGAGTACATAAATGTTATAGTGTCGAGACAGGGCCCCTCCATACTAGTCAATACATGTCAAAATCATACTGACCAAATAGGCAACTCCGGATCAAATGGAGTGGACCAACACCTTCCGTTGGGTTGATAGCCTATTTGAAGGACTGACAACCTGTCTATCGGGACCTGCGAGCATGAAACGCATCGTCCCCAGGAAAAACGGACGTTAGTACAAATAAAATACCGAGTATTTAAGGCATGAAAAACAATATATAATAGACATGAAAGAAATATTGAGTAAAAGACTCAACCTGTAAGCCTGAATAGCTCTTTGAATCATGAAACATTTATAATGTCATGCATATATGTATAAATGTCATACCATGCATAGGTATATGCGTACATAACATCATCAAGCCTCTGAGGGCATCCCATCATATCATCTCGGCCACTGTGGGCGAAATCATCAACGTATACCAGCTGATCAGGTGGTGGTGCATATATAATGCCATAACCTTTACTCATACCCCATATACATATAATATATGTGTATATAAAGCCATCTGTTCATGGGTCAATATACATGTATAAATGAATGCAATGCATAGGAAATAAGTTAATAAGATCTCTCGGAATGTCATAAGATCTATATGCCTTCGAATAAACTTTATCAACTACATATTTTTCTGAGACCCATAAACAGAAGATATAATAATAAAACACATGGGGAATCAAGAACATAGGCACCCCTAGTACTTCTATCAATAGAGGTATTTATGAAAGCTGTACCTTTGCTCGTTTCGTTTGTATCGTATGAATCATGCCAAAAGGAAAGAAGGGATAGCCTTAACATACCTTTGTCGTTTACCTAACCACACGACGATGGTTCAGACCGTTAGTACTTCAATATTCAAAAAACAACAAGGGACCATTGTTAAGCTTATGGAAGCTAGAACTCAACACAGATATGCGACTAGCTCGTCTACAAATTTTGGACAGCATCTCCCCTTATTCTTTTCATTTTCCTCAAATCAAACAACAAGACCAACATGTCCAGAATGTAAACAAACATACACACACACACACACACACATCAATATCTAACCTCATATTCATTACAATACCTCATATTCATTACAATACATCACCAAAACAGTCCACACCATCTCACCCGACAACCAAGTTCTAACTTGCCCTTTCCAAGCCTTCTCCTCTTCCAAACACATCAACGACAATAGCAATAGTATTCTTAAGTTATTTCTACTGATTTCTAGCCATAAAACATCAATAATTCAACTTCAAAATAGTCCAACAACTACAACACTTC